CCAAGAAGGCAGCTACTTTGTGCTCGGGGCCTGAGCAACAGGTGACATTTGAGACTTTGAGACAGAGGTTGTGTAAGGCTCCGATTTTGACTCTTCCTGAGGGTATGGACGATTTTGTGGTATATTGTGATGCGTCGATCTTGTGTCTGGGTGCATTACTGATGCAGAGGGGTCGAGTTATTGCCTACACTTCGAGGCAACTGAAGCCTCATGAAGCGAATTATCCCACTCATGATTTGGAGTTGGGGGCTATGGTTTTCGCCCTCAAGATTTGGCGACATTACCTCTACGGGGTCCGTTATACCATCTACACAGATCACAAGAGTTTGAGGTACTTGATGGACCCGCCAAATCTGAATATGAGGCAACATAGGTGGTTGGATATAGTAAAGGATTATGATTGTGAGATCCTTTATCACCCCGAGATGGCCAACGTGGTGGCCGACGCGCTCAATCGTAAGGTGATGAGCACACCTATTCGATCCATGTTTGAGGATGACGGTGATTACTCCATTATTGGAGCGGATTATCGAGGCTCTGGTTAAGGCCATAAAAGAGGATCACCGCAAGAGTGAGCGCATTGTAGGGCAGGTGTCTTCCTTCAATTATGACAGTATGGGATTTTTGACCTTACATCAGAGGATTCTGGTTCCATATTGGGGTGGTGTACGACAGGTATTGATGGAGGAGGCACACAAGTCGAGATTTTCTATTCATCCGGGTGCTACGAAAATGTACAGAGGCCTCCGACCCGATTATTGGTGGCCTCGCATGAAGCGGGATGTGGCTTGGTACGTGGAGAGGTGCTTGACTTGCAGGAAATTCAAGGCCGAGCATAAGGATGTTACACTTATTTCCCACAAGTTTAAAGGATATCAATTTGTCCAATCTTTCATACATCCCAAACTATTTCACCTTTCAAAACCTCTACTCCTTTATAGGCAACTTAGACAACCTTACCCCACTTTACAACATGTCTCCTTACTATTAGACATTATGTCAGTTAATGATTCCAAGAGAGAATATTAACAAATAACTATTATCTGGGGTAGAGGATTTATATGGTAATGGAAGATTTTGTTAAATAGATCTCTCATTCATTAGGGACCAACTCGTTTAAACCATTCCATTATGTTCAATATATCCAACTTAAAAGGACCAACTAGTTGTAGGGGGTCTTCTCATCTAAAAGACAATGCTCCCATCAGATTAGTCAGAAAGAAGCACGTAACAATAGATTCAAGTGACACCAAACTTTTCAAATCAGTCGAGTTGGCCATAATAGCTCCTCTGGCTAAGAAACAAAAGCTTATACACTACTCCATTGTTTAGAAGGAAAAATAATAGAATATAAGCCTTGAGGAAACAATACAAATTCCTAAGCAGAGCAAAAAGAACCTACTTGTAACAAACTAAAAAAAATATGATGTAGCCTTTTCCAAGGAGTTAAGAACTAAAGGTGGAGTTGTCATTTTTTAATCGGCTAGATTTAAGGAGCAAAATGTGATGTGCAACGTAATAAAATGATGGACAGGAAGAATCACTTGGTTGCTTTAATTGAAAGAGTAAATATGTAGAAGTTTGTTTATGCCAATACAAGAATACGTTTAGTCGGTCCTATCATCAAAGTTAGATGTCAGTAACCAAAGACAAACAAAATTCTCAATGTGCATCTAACCAGATAAGCCAGCTCCGGTCCATATCTCAGTGAGGTATAAGCAAGTAATATAGTCAAAATTTGATTTTATGAATCTACTGAGACCCTAAATTGCACCAGGAAATAAAACTTTATCATGTATAGTAAACTCAAAATCATCTTTAGTAATCTCATAATCAAGAAGAAAAAACATATGGTTCTTGAGGAAGTTGTTACCAAGAGGGTAGAAGGTCCTAATAAAAGAGTCTAAAGAAAAAAACTAGAATAAGATCCGTAAAAATACATGATTAAGCCATTATCACTTGAGACAAGGCTGACCAACCTAAGGCCTTCTATTATTATCGATCCCCACAGACATCGCTTCATAGAGTCTCCTGGGTATGAAATATTTTATAGAGATTATGATGAGAATACGTGTTTTCTAGAATGGAAGAGATGCCCAAAATGCTAATAACAACAATCTTTTTGAGCTAAGGTTTAATTATAAAAGAACACAAATGATAAATGTATATTATTTGTTGTTTTTAAAAGAGCCAAAGAAGAAAAATGAAGAGCTAAGTGTTTCTCCATATGTGTTGATTAAAAATGTGTTCTTAGATGGAGTTGGCTAAATTGAATTATATCCTATATAACCCAACTCACATGTAATATACTTGTTAAAACTATTTCAATTTAATGAAAACATTTCAATTTGTATAAGAGAAACATAAGAAATTGTTATTTCGTACAATTATAGTTAGTTTTGATATCATCAAATGGAGGGAGATTGTGAGGGTCAAACCAAGTGAGTTGATGAAGGCCAATGACTTTATATTATAACCTTTCATTACTTATCAACCTGAGCTGGCTAGTTTTTAATTAAGGACTCAATCGATATAAGCTAACCAAGACAATTGGGGCTAACTTGACAACTTGAGCTGCTTAAAGCCTGAACACTTATACATTAAAGACGATTCAACAAACATCATAATACTTGAAGGTACTAAAAGATAGAGTTGTTGAAGGTTGGAACACCAAGATAAGATATTTAGATTCAAGATTACCATATAAGTATCCATGTTTGTGTAAGATTGTGCTACTTACTTTTCGCTCAGTGTCTATGTAATTCTAATCATATTTTGGTTGTCCTTCACTGAGATTCATATGAGCTTTTTGTGACCAATCGAGAGAGAATTCAGAGAGTTAGTTTATTATTAGGTGTCTCGTTATATTCTCTTTGAAATTTAGAAACTGTCATGATCAATAAGATTTGCTTACAAAGCAAAATGTGTGTTTTTAACCGTGTAATTGCAATATTGCGGACCAGCATCCCTTTTTCGACCTCATGGCTCATGTAAGGTAGATAAGTATAATTGTGTGTTTTAACTTGGTGTATGTTTGACAAAAGTAGCTAGTAATTTAAAAGTGGAAGATCTAACTTTTATTTGTATATAAATGTTCGGAAACAATAGTTGCATGCTTTTGTAATGTGTAAAATTACCCAAAATATAATTGTTAAAAGTTATAAGTTTCTAAAATCTATTAAGAAAATACTTTATAGATCTTTTGGATTATTATCTTTTTATATAAAATAAAAGTTTTATGACCATATCGTCGGAACGAACTTTTCTTTAACTCAAGCTTTTTTCTTAAAAATTTCTAAAAGCTTTAAAAAATTCACTACCAAACATACATTTATTAAATCCTAAAATTGATTTAATTTGGGGTTAAGGCAACAACATGTTGCTTAATTAATCATACATATGATTTTCGAGTTTTTAACTTAAGTCTTGTATTTTTTTAAAATATTTACCAAAAAATAGTGTTTTAAAAATTATTTACCATTTACGTGTAGTTTTTAGAAAAAAATAGAAACGTAATGATCCCCCTGGGTTCTCTCACGCACACGATCTTCTCTGCCACTATTCGTTTCCATCATGCGTCTTCTTCCTTCCTCCCTCCTCACCGGTTTTCCCTCCTTTTCCGGTTACACAAGTGGTTGTAGTTACTGTTCTTGATATGTATAATTTATCAATTACAATCTACCACAGATGCAAGTAGAATAGAGCCTTACCTTCTTGTTATTCTATTAGGTTCCAAAGGTTTGGGAATCGAAAGCTCTAAATTGGGTGTACCGGGAAGAAGTGGGTGAGGCTTTTGCATGTAAATTTAAGCAAACCTCACTTCGTGTTTCCTAAAATTGTCTCAATCAAGATTTCTTGAATTTGCAGAAGATAATTGCAACCAAAGACACTGGTTGAGTTCCAAACTTTTGTTTATTACAAAGGAAACTTTAACAGAATAGATACGGGGAAAAGATTAAAATGGAGGGAGGCGTTTGGTGGCTTTGTCTTGGAGTTGTGGCAATGATGCGACGGGTTCGGGAGAAGAGAGGGGTGCTGATGTCAATGGTCACCAGTGTCTAGATCTTAGACGTGGTTCAAGCCTTCAAGGAAAAGACACGATCACACGGGGGCATGGAATGTGGCTGGTGACGCGGTTCCAAGTGGTGCTCAATGGTCGCCGATGTCCAAAATAACAAATGAAACAACTATGTTTTTTTAAGAAATTCTTTCTTTAATTGGGTGGTGGATTTGAGTTGTTGAATTGGAGCTGTTGGGGGTCAGCCATTGTTGGAAGAATTGTGTGATCATAATTTGTATTAGGGAAACTATCGAGGTCGTGTGAGTATAGAATTCAAGAATTAATACTGTGTTTTCATAAATTTGCATATAGTTTCTTTTTTATTGGTTTTGTAGACAGAGAGAAAATGATGACTGCAAAATATGAAAAATGGTTTTTAGTTTTGACGGGAACAATGGCGGTGGTTGTGGTTATGTTAAAAGATATATATACAATTTTTAAAAAGAACAACAAAATCAATAGAAGGGTGATCTACTATGTTTTGGTAATTAAATTTTCAACTACTATGATTTGGTAATTATTTTTAAAAACTACCATACCTAGAAAAAAAAACTCATGATTTTCTTTACATTATAATATGTTGCTATTAATATTATATACGTTTAAGTTTTTTAACTGAGACAAGAAAATTTAAAGCAACCCTTAATTTTGAAGTGAACAGTGAAACTATCATGCCGTCAAAGTATTTTGAAGCTTAAAAACATATTCTCAACATAGTAAAACTTCAATATTTGAATCTTAGGAAAATATGAATCTTGAAAACGAAAAAACTAAACTAAAAATATTTGACGTTGCACTCTAAGAAAAAATATCCAACAAGAACAAGAACACTTGATATGTTGTTATCACCCACCAAAATTGTCCTTTAATGAGTTCTCGTTGCAAACTATGATCCTTTGCTCATATACTTGGACTTTTTCCACTTTAAAATGGTTTATATATCTCACAAACACCTTAAATTTCAATTTCAATTAAATTTCGAGAGAAATCACCTCTCTCAAGAAAAAGAAAAACCCAAAATGAAGAATAATGCGACACCGTTCCCAACGGTCGAAACATGCAGCTCCATCGGGCGGGAAAACCATACAGTGGTGGCGGATATGGACGGAACTCTTCTGAGAGGACGGAGCTCTTTCCCTTACTTTGCGTTGGTTGCTTTTGAAGCCGGCGGCGCCCTAAGGCTTCTCATGGTGCTCCTATCGGCCCCATTGGCCGGACTTCTTTACTACTTCGTATCAGAGTCGGCCGGAATTCAGGTTCTTATATTCGCAACATATGCCGGAATGAAAGTTTCCGATATTGAGTCAGTTGGTCAAGCGGTGTTACCCAAGTTTTACTCGAGTGATCTGCATCCTGAATCATGGCGGGTGTTCTCCGCCTGTGGGAAGCGGTGTGTGCTCACGGCGAATCCGAGGATCATGGTGGAGGGATTCTTGAAGGAGTTTTTGGGAGCGGATTTGGTTTTAGGAACGGAGATCGGAACTTATAAGGGTAGAGCGACGGGGTTTGTGCTCAGCCCGGGGGTGTTTGTTTCTGAGAAGAAGGCAGAGGCTCTTCTTAAAGAGTTCGGCGATAAACGGCCGGAAATTGGGCTTGGTGATCGGCAAACAGACTTTCCATTCATGGCACTATGCAAGGTAAACATGTGCATAAATTGTGTAAACTATACAATAATACAATATACTGTATAAGAATTAATCATAAAAATTACCAAAATAACAGAATGGGAGGTTTATAAATTATAATTCAAAATATGAGTTTTTTTAGAAACTGACATTGATGTATCCAAATTTATAATATTTTCATCTATAAACATATGTCTATATTGATATATGTTTATATTAAACAGTAAAGTTTGTTTTTTTTTTTTTTTTTGAAAAATCCTTATGTTTCGGCTGCTATGATTTATTTTCAGTTTTTTTTTGGTTGAAAAATCATTTGAATTCGATTTCTATGATTTATGATTTTTTTTAGGTTGAAAAACCATTTAATTTCAATTATTTGGGTAGAAAAAATGTTTGATTTTGGGTTTTTTTTTGTGTGTTTTGAAAAACCAAACCGTATAATGCGTTCTCCATAATTTAGTTTAATAGTACAACTTTTATGAAACACATGAAAAAACTCTATAACCAATTCTAAATAACTTTAATTCTTAATTGGAATGGTCAAGTTCCGTTTATTCGATCGGTTTTTTTTCCATAAAAACGAACTCGCATGCAAAAATTATTTTTCTTAAAAACTAGAAATCAATCGCAAAATTCATATAATTTAAAGCAGTGAAATTATAAAAAGAATTTATTGTGAGAAAAATAAATTATTCAAAAAAAAAAAAATACAAAACCATAAAAGAAAACCAAATAACAAAATACTATATTTAACAATTTTTACTAATTGAACAAAAATACAAAAATCGATATATTTTGTCAAGAATTCGATTTAATCATTATTTTTTAAAATTTCATGTGTGACTAAAATTCATAGGCCAGAATAGTTGTGGTTTATCAAAAAATGAATTATTTTTTAACATAAACTAAAATTAGATTGTTAAATCGAAAAAAATATATATATTGTTTTTTAATTACTTCTTTATAAAAATTACAGGATTATTTATATTTAATGAGAAGTTTATTTACATTTACAGATTAGAGAAATTTTCAATATGTTTATAAAATAGTAGGTTTTTCATTGTAACTAGAAAAAAAAAACTCATGCTATGCAATGGAGTTGGGTTTTTTTTTTTTTTTTTTTATTATCAGCAGTTTAGTGAAAGCCATAGAATAGAAGCGACAATTAATTCAACAAAATATGGTGGCGGACTTTTGAAACATATAGACATTTTTTGTAAATTATAGGGACAATTTTTGTAATTAGTTTTGTACTCATAGGTTAAACCTGTCAAAATAAAAAAAAAATTACACATAAAGACTGTTTTTGAAAAAAAAAAAAAAAAAAAACTTTATAGGACCTTTTCTATAAATTAAAAAATTGCACGGACTAATTCTACCAAAATATAAAACCTTTGTTGCATGGACTAAATCTATCAAAATGTGTAACCTTTGTTGCATGAAATTAAATCTGTTAAAGGGTTTTATATGGACTAAATATGCTAAAATATAAAACCTTTGTTGTAAGGACTAAATATGTTAAAATATAAAAGTTTTGTGACAAAACTCTGAAAAAAAAAATTGTATGGTTCCTAAAGGCCATATATATATAAGTCGAAAAGATAACAGGTAAAATTACTCGTGAGAAATGGATGTTCCAAATTGGGTAGTTAATTATTATAGAAATTATGCTTGTAACTAACAAAAAAAAATTATTTTCAGTTTTTTTATAGAAAATGTTTGTATATAAATGGTATACTCTTTTGGTTTGAGACTTGAGACTTTGATTATAAAGTAGTCCTTATAATTTATAATTTATAGAAAGATTTTTGCCTATTTTTTTTACATCAAATGATCCACCTGTATAAAAAAGATTTGAAAAATGGTCACTACCTAATAGCAAATAGATGTTAGCACTTATGAATGAGGCAAAAACAATTGGAAATTACGGGTATCGATTTCTAGTTTTATTATAATTGTTACCCAAGAAAATACAGTTATGTGTTTTTTTATTATTGATATCTCCTTTTGTTTGTATTTTTGTGGTTAAATATCTTTTAATCCATTTTTTTTATAATGTTTTTGCAGGAGAGTTATATTGTACAACACAATCCAGAAGTAAAGCCACTACCAAACGACAAGCTACCGAAGCCAATCGTATTTCACGACGGCCGGCTAGTTCTAAAGCCATACCCCATAATGGCCCTCCTCACCGTCTTATGGATTCCGATTGGTTTCATCCTCGCCTGCCTCCGTATCGCCGCCGGCTCCCTCCTCCCGATGCCAATGGTCTACTACGCCTTCTGGGCTCTCGGTGTACGTGTCACTGTCAAAGGGAACCCTCCACCACCGGTGACGAAATCCTCCGGCCAAACCGGTGTCCTTTTCATTTGCTCCCATCGTACTCTCCTTGATCCCATTTTCCTATCCTGTGCCCTCGGCCGCCCCATCCCCGCCGTCACATACTCCGTCTCTCGTCTCTCTGAGATTATCTCTCCGATCAAAACTGTCCGGTTAACTCGTGACCGAGAAACCGATGCCTCCATGATCAAGAAGCTTTTGGAAGAAGGAGACTTAGCTATCTGCCCGGAAGGTACCACTTGCCGGGAACCATTTCTACTCCGGTTCTCCGCCATGTTTGCAGAGTTGACTGACCACCTTGTGCCGGTGGCGATGGTCAACAAGATGAGCATGTTTCACGGCACCACCGCGAGAGGGTGGAAAGGAATGGACCCATTTTACTTCTTCATGAACCCTAGTCCGGCGTATGAAGTTACTTTCTTGAATAAGTTGCCGCTTGAATTAACATGCAGCTCCGGCAAGTCTAGCCATGAGGTGGCGAATTATATACAGAGGGTGATTGCAGCCACGCTTTCTTATGAGTGTACAAGCTTTACCCGGAAGGACAAGTACCGAGCACTAGCCGGAAACGATGGCATAGTGGCGGAGAAGCCCAAGCAAAAGGCCATCAAAGTTAACGGGTGCTAGTTTTGTGTGAGTGTGTGTGAATCGTGATACAAATAACCCGTCGAGGGCAAAATGGGAAATCAATATATAACCCTTCTTTTTCTTTCTTTGTTTCTTGTCAATTCAAGAATAATGCAAAATTTTGTACTTATGAATTTATGAGACACTCATTCATTAGCTTTATATGTCTTTCAGTGATAGTTATTAAACATTCTTACTTTATGGATCTGATTTCTATCATTCGTGACACAACAAAGACATGATCGATATTAGGTCTTGGTATTAATTATTGATCCGGTACAAAAATAACGATGTAATCCATAAAGGTGGTCTGAAAGATCAAAATTAAGTTTGCCAACTTACGAAATGTTCTTGAGTTTTTGTATGTATATTTCTTGGATTGAGTTTTTTATATCGATAAAGTTATATATTAACTAAATGTTAAATGTACAATTCTTATATTACAATCTCGGCTTTCACATATGTGTATTATTCCATGTATGTTAGTTATTTAATTGCAATTCATTGTGGGCAAAGAGTAAGTTACCTCATTAAGGTTTGTTGGTTGTCCAGGACGAATTAAGGTGTAACTTGTAGAGAGTATTTATTTATATTAGTTCTTTTATTTTGTTAATATACAGCAAATCCGTATCATTTTCCTCACATTGAGGTTATGGTTGCCATCAATGCATTCTTCCATCGGTTAGGTAATAGAGATGGCAATGGGGTCGATTTACAGGAAATCGGAGATCTTTCCTTATACATATCCGATTATTGTTTCCTGATTCTAATTTATCTTGTTTATCAAGTCTCCTAGATTATTTAGGTTTCTTAATTTCTTTTAAGCCTTGTATAAATATGGCTTTCAGCCTCCATTTTCAATTGAATGAATGAGTTTCAAACCCTTCATCAGTTTCTTTATTGTATCAAAAACTCATGACGGGAGGACCTACACCCGACAACTCCAACACCAACCCAAACCCACCGGTGGATCCAAGCTCACTGTTCTATATCCACCCAACGAACTATCCTCGACAAGTCCATGTAAACGAAGTTGTTAGTAACAGTAACTATGCCGACTGGACAAGAGAGATGAAAAACTTCCTCTTGGCGAAGAACAAGCCAGGTTTCATAGATGGAACCATAGCTCAACCAATCGTTGACGGCGTGGAACTAAGGGCATGTCAGCGAAGCAATGCTCTCATAAAGGGTTGATTGACTACCACTATGGAAAAAGATATACGAAGTAGCGTGAAGTATGCCAACACATCTAAGGATGTTTGGGACGATCTGGAGGAACACTTTGGAAAAGAAAGTGCACCTCGTGCCTACGAATTGAAGCGAGCTCTAACGATTCTCAGGCAAGATAACTCTGTAGTTTCAACCAATTTTACTAAACTCGGAGCAATATGGGTCGAGATTCATTTGTTATATCACCAATTCCGAGATGCACTTGTGGGAAGTGCACTTGTGATCTCGAAAAATGCCTAGTTGAATCTAGAGAGAACGAGCAGATCTACGAATTTCTAATGGGACTTAATGATATTTATGGGACTATTAAGACATAAATTCTCAGCACTAAACCAATTGTCACACCCCCAAACCTGAACGGCGGAAACATTCGGGGGCGGAGGACGTCATGTACAGTATCATAACAATTGAATAGTAAAAAAAGTACACACCACCATAATATATATTTGAAAAGTTTACATGATTGTTGTATTACATGTTTCAAAAGTCAAATACAATATGATGTTCCAAAAGATGTTACTAACGCCAGAGCATTAGTCCCCAAAAGCAGTTGCTAACCTGGTTTAGCGATTCCCTAAGAATGCAAGTTATTTCAAAGAAAAAGTGTCAACATTTAAGTTGGTGAGCTCATAAGTAGTTATTTGAGTAAATGCATGCCATTCGAAAGTTTGCGTTTGTTTTCCAGAAAATCCGATATTTTCTTATAAAACGAGTTATAAATCGATGTTGTATAAAATGAATGTATTGAACCAGGAAAAACCTATATTTTCCTAAAAGTGAGGAGCAGTCTCAAATGCCCAAGACTGTAACTTGTAAGTAAATATGTCATACTTAAAATAATGATGTATAGTTTTATTAGTAAACAAAACTATAAGAAGTTTGTAATTTCACGTAAAAATAATTGTAATATTACTTTTCCCGCAAAAACATAATATCATGATAATTGTCTATCCTGTGAGTTTTCATAACCGTACTATGATGGATTTGCCTGCGGCGACGTTCTTCAGGCGTCGAAGCGTTATGATATTTGTCAACCCGCGGACTGTAGCTAACAGTCAGGGCGCGGGATCATCAGTCTCGTATAGATCTATACACACTTATCACGTTCTCCGGGAGGAGACTCTGATTATAAAACAGGGCTTTCTTGTATACCTTGATAGGTACGATGAAGACGAATGACTCACATATTCTCAATTAAGTCACGTATTTTGAAATGTATATGTTTATGTCCAAAATGATTACCCTTGTCATGATATGTTATGCAAGCAGATAAATAAAGCATATTTCCATTTATAATACATATTGTATCCCATGAGGGTAAAGTTGTGATGTGTGTAGTTTTGCATGTTAACAACTTCATATGATAGTTAATACGATAGTATGAAAGTATAGCAGAAGATTAATGTTTTCACACGAGTTTAACCTTGTGTTTACTTGTATTCTCCCCCTAAAAGTGTCTAGAAAGCATTTACAAGCATTTAAAAGTGTTGTGATAGGGGTATGAACTCACTTGGTACAAGTGACGGGTTGATGAAAATGATGCTTTACTCGGACAGCACTTCGACCGGAAAGAAGTCGATTTCTCGAAAATCTCGGGGCTTCGAACTTCCTTCAGAGCTTGGATATGAAACCGGGGCGTCAGGGTAGTCTCGAGAGGGTAGAAGTACGAAATTTAGGAGAGAAAGTAGTGAATTAGCAACCAAAACTCGGAGCCCTTGCATCCTTTATATAGGGTGCATTTTTGGAGCTCACGTCGTGAGCATGGAGTGGCTCACGTCGTGAGTTCGATCTTTTTCCCCTTACGTTGACTCGACGTATGATAGCCCGAGCCTGGCACCCATCAGTCACTAGCTCACGTCGTGAGCTTCAGTCTCACGTCGTGAGATTCTAACAGTGTGGGGTTTCATGTCCCAAACTTCGGAAATTCATATCTCTCGCATACGAGCTCCGATTTTAACGTTCTTTATATCCATGCGTCGGTGAGATTATGCTCTACAATTTTCGTTTAGACTCCGTCGGCTAATTTTGACTTTATTTTTAATATTGTATTTTTAACAGGCCAGGACTGGAAAAGTCCGTTAAAAATCCATAACTCCTTCATCCGACGTCCGTTTTTGTCTGTCTTTTTACCGTTGTACTACTATTGTTGAGATCTTCGATTCTCGTTTAGGTTAAGTTGGCTAAAAGTCTTTCAATCTCTATTTCGAGTTTTTAGCTGTCTACTGCTATATCTGAAACTTAGGAAAATCATAACTTCCTCATACGAAGTCAGATTTGGACGTTCTTTTTATGTACGTTTACGGTTTAATGATATCTACGACTTTCATTTAGATACCTAAGGCTAAAAAGTATTTTATTGAAATTCCGTGTTTTACGCTTAACAGTGTTTTGTCGGTTTTGTTGCGGATTTTCGATTGGTCATAACTTCTTCGTTATAACTCGGATTTTTGTGTTCTTGATATTTTTGAAAACCTTGTTACGATATCTACCACTTAGTACATTCACATTGAGATTTTTGAATATTTCATTTTTGACGTTATTCCAATTATATTAAGATAGGTTACAATACTTGACTTTGGATCGTTACATTGACTTGAAATATCGGGTTGTTACATCATCCCCCCGTCAGAGGGAATTTCGTCCCGAAATTATTTACAAAGTAAGTGTCTATGGACTAGGGAAGAGATGCGAGTATTTCTGCTGCATCTGGTCTTCTCGCTCCCAAGTGAATTCAGGTCCCCGCTTAGCATTCCAGCGAACCTTCACTATTGGTATGCGACTCTGCTTTGTTCGTTTGATTTCCCTATCCATGATTTCGAAGGGTTCTTCCACAAAGTTAAGATTTTTGTTCAATTCGATTTCCTCGAGTGGAATTACAAGGGTTTCATCAGATAGACACTTCTTCAGATTAGACACGTGAAACACAGGATGTACGTTGTTAAGTTTGAGTGGTAGTTGGAGTCTATAAGCTATTGGACCAATCCTTGTAGTAACTTCAAAGGGTCCAATGTACCTTGAATTTAGTTTTCCACGCTTCCCAAAGCGTATCATGCCCTTCCAGGGTGAGACCTTCAGTAGGACGCGGTCACCAACCTGAAAATCAAAGGGTTATCGTCTCTTGTTGGCGTAGCTCTTTTGCCTGTCCCGTGAGGCTTTCAGTCGTTCACGGATTTGAACGATCTTCTCAGTCGTCTCTCCAATGATTTCTGGACCAGTGAGAGTGATATCAGGGACTAGGCCTCTCGCCAACTGCGTGTTACCCACTTCCGCCCAGCACAGAGGTGATCTGCACTTGCGGCCGTAGAGGGCTTCAAAAGGAGCAGTCTTGATGCTAGTGTGATAACTGGTATTATACGGGAACTCAACTAACGGTAAGTGGATGTCCCATGCTTTACCGAATTCTATTACACAAGCCCGTAACATGTCTTCTAGGGTTTGGATAGTTCTCTCACTCTGTCTGTCAGTTTGTGGGTGATAGGCTTTACTCATATCTAGCCTATTTCCCAAGGCTTTCTGCAGTGATTGCCAGAATCGTGATGTGAATCTGCTATCTCTGTCTGAGATAATAGATATCGGCACTCCGTGAAGTCGCACGATTTCCCAGATGTAAGTCGTTGTCAGTCTTTCCATCTTATCGGTCTCCTTGATTGGCAAGAAATAGGCAGACTTGGTTAACCTGTCGACGATCACCCAAATGGTATCATGACCACTTTGCGTCTTGGGTAGTTTGGTTATGAAATCCATGGCAATCTGCTCCCACTTCCACTCAGGTATTTCGGGCTGTTGGAGTAGACCTGAGGGTTTTTGGTGTTCTACCTTGATATTAGCACAAGTTAAGCACTTGACAACGTAGGTAGCAATCTCTGCTTTCATGTTTGGCCACCAATAGAGTTGTTTGAGATCCAGATACATCTTATATGAACCTGGGTGTACGGAGTATCGAG